CACACTAAAAAAATAAAGCTGGAGAAGTAAGCAGAGGCCAGGCTTTTGAATTTGTCTGCTAAGGGTGGTAAGAAATTATTAGGACTAATCCAATCCATGGAGTGGGGAGAGATTACTAGTCAGACTTGCTTTTAGAAAAGACTGTGCTGGCCTGGTTGGTGTGGTTCAGTGGTTGAGCTTCAACCCAAGCACCAGGAGGTCACCAGTTCAATTTCCGGTCACCGCTCATGCCCAGGTTGTGGGCCAAATCCCCAGTGGGGGGCATGCAGGAGGCAGCCAGGCGATCTTCTCTCTCATCGATGTTTCTATCTCTCTCTCCCTCTCCCTTCCTCTCTAAAATCAATAAAGAAAAAAAATTTTAAAAATAAAAGACCATACTGGCTGCCATGTGGAAATCAGATTAGAAGAAGGCAAGGTGATTTTACATAGATCATTTAGGAACTTATTGCAGTAAACCAGGCTTCATCCCTGAAGATTTTCATTGGTTATCACTATAATCTTCGTAAATCTGTAAAAATATATTTATAAGCTATGTGTGTCTGTCATAATGTTTTGAATATATTTCTGACAATTAAAAAGGAAAAGGTGACTATAGTATTGTTTTCATATTTTTTAATATGCAAAATTTCAGTTGCTGTATTATGCTTTAAATAGCCATTTGTGGGCAAGCCTGGGAATTGCGTTTAGAACCTGAAAAGACTTAACACTGGTATCTAGATTGCTTTATATTTTCTTTTTCTTTTTTATCCTCACTTGAGGACATTTTTTTTTGCATTTATCTTCAGATAGAGTAGGAGGGAGAGGGGGAGGAAAAGAGAGAGAGAGAAACATCGACATGATCCACTGGTTGCTACCCACACAACCCCAACTGGGCCGGGGACAAACTGTAACCGAGGTACATGCCCTTAGCGGGAATCAAACCCGGGACTCTTTGGTCCTCAGGCTGATGCCCTAACCGCTGAGCCAAACCGGCCAGGGCTATATTTCCTTTTTGCTATCATAGAATTTTAATACTTTATAGCAGTGCTGTTATATAAAAATATTTGTGCTGTAACTGCAAGCCACATATGTAATTTTAAATTTCATTAAAAGGTAGAAAGACAGTGATGAGGTTAATTTTAATAAGTATTTTATTTAACCCAGTATATCTAAAGTATTCTTTCAACATTTCAATATAAAACTATTAATGAAATATTTGATTTCTTATAAAGTCTTAGAAATCCACTAGATGTTTTACTGTAGAGCACATCTCAGTTTGCACTAGTCATGATTCACAGATAGTGGGTGCTGAACAGACGGTACAGCTCTATAGGTTTCTGGGTTAATAAGAGTAGTTTTTTTTTTAAGTTATCAAATTTATGGAAATAGAAACCCATGCAGGCCTGAGTTTAATAAACTTTTGGAATAAAGTTGGTTATTCTTGTTAAAAAGAAAGATGTGGAGTTCTAGTTGCCTCGGCGGTGTTAGTAAAATTAACTTTCTTAAACATTTTGAACGAGTTAAGTTGCCAGTTAACACTTACGGTTCTTGAGGGACTTTTAGGGATAAAATGGAGGAGATATGTTGGAACTTGCTGATTGAGGTCCCAGTATATAGAAAGCCTGTAACTAATGTTTATTTGGTGTATATTATATGTATTAAGCCCTTCTAGTTTGACTATCAACATAAAGAAGTGAAGAATAGAATGTGTTCTTTGCAAACTCTTAGCCTGAATGCTTTGATACGCCAAAATTGAAATGATTCTTTAACTATTAATGCTTTTATAAACAAAACAAAACAAAACAAAACAAAACAAAACAAAAACCCTATGGTTATTTACTCAAGAGCCATAATATTTAACTTGATTGCTTCTGTGGACACTGCAAAATTCTTAGCATGATCAGTTATTTTTATACTATTCTATTTTAACATAGACCTTAAATATAAAAACTCTTGCTTTTTAATACAGTCTAACAAATTTCAGTATGTAATAATAGGCCATCTTTGGTAGAAGTAACCATAAAACAGTAAAAAAGTTGTAAAGCATTATGTATTTAAATTTTGGTTATTCTGCCCTGGCCGGTTTGGCTCAGCAGTTAGAGCATCGGCCTGGGGCCATAGAGTCCTGGGTTTGGTTCCTGTTAAGGGCACGTACCTTGGTTGCGGTTTGTCCCTGGCCCCGGTTGGGGTTGTGTGGGTGGCAGCCACTGATGTGTTTCTCTTACATCGATGTTTGTCTCTCTATCTTCCTCCCTCGCTCCCTCCCGCTGTATCTGAAGATAAATGTAAAAATGTCCTTGAGTGGGGATAAAAAAAATAATAACAAAAAAATTTTTTGGTTAGTCTTCCAAGCGCAGATGAATACTGTTATGGAGAGTATTTGTTTATTGAAAAATATATAGGTTAATCCTCACCTGAGGATATTTTACCATTAATTTTTACATAGAGTGGAAGGGCAGGGAGAGAGAGAGAGAGAGAGAGAGAGAGAGAGAGAGAGAGAGAGAGAAACATTGATGTGAGAGAGACACATCGATTGGTTGCCTCCCGCTTAACCCCACCTGGGGCCGGGATTGAACCTGCAACCAAGGTATGTGCCCTTGAGCAGGAACTGAACCCTCAACCCTTTGGTCCATGGGCTGATGCTCCAACCACTGAGCCAAATCAGCTGGAGCAGTATATTTTTTACCTCATTGTTTGAGTAAGCATTTTGACACTTATTATCCATGTTATGTACCAGTCACTATCAGATGCTGAGAATAAAGATATGTTCTCAAGGAGCTCTTAAAACTTCAACTTCTCTAAATTAGGAAATTTATGTAAATAAATCTGTTAAAAATAATATTTTATTTTTCTAAAAAATATATAAAAGCTTTATAAGTATTATTTAATTATTATAGCTCTTTGATGTTAATTTCCTTGTGCAGAAGGAAAATTTTTTGAAGACAAGAGATTGTCTTGAAACACTCCAAGTCTTCAGCACTAGAATTTAGCATGAGAGCTGGAGTATGCTTAGTTCCATTCATCTTTTATTTTGTATGTACTTATTATAACATATGTAGTAAGTCTTGTTTTATACGGCTTACTAGTTTTGTTAATGGTGGAAGTGGAGCTCTTGGAGTACTGTGGGGAAAAGAATTTCCTGAGGCACCCACTGGATGATGGGGTTTTGTGGAAAGCTTTGTTGATGATGTAAAATTGAGGAGGCTCCCTTCCAAGGTCCCAACTCCATCAGTTTTACCATGGAAAATGCCCAATCTTGTCTTTATCAGGGCCAAGATTAAGGCCACTGTCCAGAATTTCTGCTCCATATTGAAGTCCAGTCCAGTCCAGCATCTGGATAGCTTAGCTTGTGTTCCCAGCTGCAGTCCAGCAGTCCATTTCACATGGGGTCCACATGGCCATGTACCATGTGGCTGCTTAAGGCTACATGACTATGAAGAGGGAACAGGTGAGAACACTGGTCACAGAGCAAGAGAGAAAAGGGAACAAGCAAGAGAGAGGGAACTCTTTGTCATTTTCCTAATTTTTTTTTTTATTATTGAATTTTAGAGAGGAAGGGAAAGGGAGAGGGAATTTAGAGAAACATCGATATAAGAGGGAAACATTTGTGAGAGCAGAACATTGATTGGCTGCCACCTGCATGTTCCCTACTGGAAATCGAGCCAACTGAGCCACACTGGCTAGGGCTCTCTGGGGATTTTAACCTTCCAAGATTTTGCAGGCTTGCAAATTCATTGTTTCCCAGCTAGACTGATAGGCAAGCACCTTCCTTAAATGACCCCGACTTCACTGCACATTTGACTTCACTGTGCATGTGCTTATCTCCCCTTTGTTATATCCCTTCCCCCAGTGATTTGCAGGGAATGGACTAGTGGTTCCCTGCAGAGCATGAAGCTGCAGCTTATAATGATGCCCAGATGACCATGCTTGTAATGTCTGGCTTCCCCTTTGCTCTCTTTCTATTGTGAACATTAATAAACTAGTTATGACATTAATAGTTTCACTATATTTATGACTACCTTGCAAATCCCACACACGGACCTTCTAAGTCTGTTGCTAATGTCTACCAATTTGATGTTGAACAAATAGGTAGATGTATTTTTAAAAATTCAAACTAGGAGTAATACTATTTTCAGAGTATAGAGAGTAAGAACAATGAAAACTTATGCTTGTTTAATATTGTCAACTTTAAAAAAATGAAATTGTTGCCCTGGCCAGTTTGGCTCAGCGGTTAGAGCGTCGGCCTGCGGTCCTGAGAGACCCAGGTTTGCTTCTCGCTAAGGGCGCATACCTCAGTTGCAGTTTGTTCCCGGCCTTGGTTGGTTGTGCGGGTGGCAGCAACTCGATGTGTCCCTTTCATGTCGATGTTTCTTTCTCCCGCCCTCCCTCCCACTCTATCTGAACAAAAAAATGGGAAAAAAAAAATGAAATTGTTACTGTTATCATGTTTTCCATGACTGATATTTGACTATCAGCTCTGTCGATTTTAAATTTTAAAATGATGAAAAGAGAATGAAATTAACATTAAAATAATTTAAATTACAGTATTTAAAATGAGTACTTGTCTTTGCTAAAATATACAGAAGGGACAGTCTCACTTTCAGACCTGGTACCTCAGCCATGTTATTCCTTACCCCTGTGGGCAACTTCCTTGGAAATCCCTCCAGAGATAGTCGGTACATGCCCAAGCAATTATATACTGTGTTCATCCCACCCCCTCATATATTGCAGTATACTGTAAAGACTTCTCTGTACTTTGTTCTTTAACTTAACAATTGATCTTGGAGATCGTTTATACCACTACCTAAAGAAATTCTTCATTCTTTTTTACAGCTGCATAGTGAGAATAGAATTATTAAATCATCCCACAACATTTAACATGATAGATGTTCTGGTATTGTTATAGTGAATTAAATTAGTATTTTTTCAATACAGAGATCAGAGGCTTCCTTTTGTCATGTTAAACTAGATGATTTTTATATGTTGGGAAAATTTTTAAACAATTTTTTCCCTTTTTTCAGATAACCAGACAGCTCAATGGAGTCTGAGCAACTGTTCCATAGAGGCTACTATAGAAACAGCTACAACAGTATAACAAGTGCAAGTAGCGATGAGGAACTTTTAGATGGAGCAGGTGTCATTACGGACTTTCAAACTTCTGAAGATGACAATTTGTTAGATGGTGACACAGTCGTTGGTAAGTTTAGCATTACAACTCTTAATTTTTATAGTCATAAATATCTACTAATCTGTATATACTTGTTTTACCAAAGTTGTGTATTTGGGTAACTATTTTATTTTTGTAAATATATTGATTTTAGAGAGAGAGAGAGGAAGGGAGAGGGAGAAAGATAGAAATACCTATGTGAGAAAAAGCCATCAATCATCTGCTTCCTGTATGACCCCCACCAGGGATCAAACCCACAACCCGTGCTTGTGTCCTGACCGGGAATCAAACCAGTGACCTCTTGGTGCACGGGTCGACGCTCAATCACTGAGCCACACTGGCCGGGCTGGGTAACATATTTTAAATTGAGGTGATTCATGTAACATAAAAAACACTTTTAAAAGTGTACAATTCAGTGGCATTTATCACATTCACAGTGTTGTGCAACTACTACTTCTTTCTAGTTCCAAACATTTTCATTATCTCAAAAGAATACCTTGTATATGAATAAACTTTAAAATTAAATATAACATAATGCAGAAATCGATAAAGCTATAATTGGGGAGCTCAGAAAAACAGAACTAATAGGATATAAACTGATATATTGGAAGAGATTTATTATGAGCAATTGGCTCACATGATTGTGGAGGCTGAGGGGTCTCATGACATGCTATCTGCAAATTGGATGTCCAGGAAAGTTGTTGGTATAGTCCTAGTCCAAATCCAAAGATCTGAGAACCAGGGGAACGAGTTGAGAAGTCCCAGTTTGTGTCTGAATGCTCCAGATCCAGGAGCACTGATGTCCAAGGGCAGAAGAAGATCGATTATGTCTCAGCTCAAGCAGAGAACAAATTCACCCTTTCTTTGCCTTTTTGTTCTATTTAGATCCTTAACTGATTGGACAATTCCCACCTTCATTGGTGAGAGCATCTCTTTTTTTTTCCAGTTTTCCAATTCAAACGCTAATGTCTTCTGGAAAGACCCTCATAGACACATACACAAAAAATGTTTTACCATTATCTAGGCATCCCTTAGCCTGGTCAGGTTGACATAAAATTAACCATCACAACAATCATCAAATTCTAAGTGTGGAAATTGATGAATTTCTACAAAGTGAACATCTTGTATAACTACCCCTCTATCAAGAAGTAAAACATTATCGGGATCCCAGAAGGTCTAAAATTTATATTCCATGTGACAAGGTCATGATAATTTCAGCTATGCTACATTGTTTTTTTCTAAAAATTGATTTGAGAGAGATGAGTCTTCTGTCTTAAGGGTTTTTATCTGTGTACTTTTCTGGGAGAACTGAGAAAATAGTTGGGTAAATCTTGTTTTGTGCTGTGGTTCTAATTAAGAATTTCAGTTGAAAAAGTGTCAATAGTTATGGGCTAAGCCTATAAAAATATTAGCTTAAGTAAATACATAAAATCACAGAGAGTCTATGGATCTGTTTAAACAGTTCTAAAATACTAACATTTAGAGGAAATTCCTTAGAAGAATATTTTTGAATATTGATTTAAAAAAATTATCAACCTTGCTTGACTTAACTACTTCTAATGATTTATTTGTGATAGCTTTTCAAAATATTGTTGTATCATTGGCAAACAGTGACAATTTTGTGTCTTCCTAATCTTTATAGCTTTCTCCTCCTCTGTCCCCCTTGCTTTGCTTTGCTGGCTCTAGTAAATTGTTGAATGCAAATGGTGATTGCAGGCATCTTTGGTCTTGTTCCGACCCTAAAGTTTCACCATTTAGTATTGACCTCAAAGTTTTAGGTATGATGTTTAATCTGGACTTTTGTGTTACATTTTATCAGATTAAACAGGCTCATTATCTATTCTTACCTGCAAAACTAATCTATAACAACAGGAATCAAAATAGTAGTTATTTTTGAACCTGGAAGAGGGAACAATTTAAAATCATGAAGGGATGTTGAATTTATCATTTTCCCTCCATTTTTTTGAGATGATCATCTGATTTATATCTTTTTTCTGTTATTAAACTTTAGTTGATTTTCAGATGTATTAATGCATTATTTTTTGTTAATTGCTGCATTTGATTTACTTATGTATTGTTCAGGATTTTTGCATATATATTTATAACTGAGGTTGGCTGATAGTTTCCCTGTGTCATACTCTTATTAGGTTTTGGTATCAAGGTAATACTTCCCTCATAAAGTGAGTTGTAGTAATGTCTTTTTCTAGTCTCTGGAGGGGTTTATGTAAGACTGGCATTATCATTTCTTGCTTAAATTTTGGTATAATTTGCCAATGAAACGCTTGGCTTAGAATTTTCTTTGTATTAAAGTTTTAAATTATGTTTCAAGTTATTTAATGATTATAGTACTATTCTGCTGTTGTTTCTTTTTACATCAGTTTGGTAAGTTGTATTTTTCTCAAAAATTCTTCTTTTTATTTAAAACATTTATTTGCATAAAATTGTTTTAATGACTGTAGGTTCTGTAGTCATGATAATGACTTTTTCATCCTGATAATGGTTGATTGTGTCCTTCTCTTTTCTCCTTCCCTTCCTCCTCCTTCTCTCCTCCCTCCTTAAAAATCAGTGTCCTGTAAATTTGTCAGTCATCAGACTTTCCAGTGAACTACTTTTGCCTTTGTTCTTTTCTGTTATGTATTCATTTTCTATTTCATTAATTTCTGATCTTAATTCCCCTACTTTCTTTGGATTTATTTTCCTGTATTTTTTTTAACTTCTTAAAATGGCTAGTTCCTTAATTTTAAGCCTCTTTTCAGGTAAATACATTTAAAGCTGTACATTTCCGTCCAGATTCTTATTATTGTTGTCACCAATTAAAAATTCCTTCTAACAGAATAGAGAACCCAGTAATGGACCCAAGGCAATATGCTCAATTAATATTTGACAAAGGTGGCAAGAGCATACAGTGGAGTAAAGACAGCCTCTTTAATAAATTGTGTTGGGAAACTTGGACAGCTACATGCAAAAAAATGAAACTAGACCATCAACTTACACCATACACAAAAATAAACTCAAAATGGATAAAAGACTTAAATGTGACCCGTGAATTTATAAAAATTCTAGAAGAAAATGTAGGCAACAAAATTTCAGACATCATACGCAGAAGAATTTTCACTGATACATCACCTAAGGCAACAGAAACAAAGGAGAAAATGAACACATGGGACTACATCAAACTCAAAAGCTTCTGCACAGCAAAAGAAACAACCATCAAAATGAAAAGGCAACCCACTGTATGGGAAAACATCATTGCCAACGATACATCAGATAAGGGGTTAATTTCTAAAATATATAGGGTGCTCATACAACTCAACAAAAGGAAGGCAAAGAACCCAATTAAAAAATGGGCAGAGGAGCTGAATAGACACCTCTCCAAACAGGACATACAAATGGCCAAGAGACATGAAGAAATGTTCAATATCACTAATCATCAGAGAGATGCAAATTAAAACAATGAGGTATCCCCTCACACCTATCAGAATGGCTGCCATCAACAAATCATCAAACAACAAGTGTTGGCAAGAGTGTGGAGAAATGGAGACTCTAGTGCACTGCTGGTGGGAATGCCGACTGGTGCAGCCACTATGGAAAACAATATGGTGTTACCTCAAAAAATTAAAAATTAAACTTCCATTTGACCCAGTGATCCCACTTCTAGGAATATACTCTAAGAAACCTGAAACACCAATCAGAAAGAATATATGTACCCCCATGTTCATAGCAGCACTATTTACAATAGCTAAGATCTGGAAACAGCCCAAGTGTCCATCGGTAGACAAATGGATAAAAAAGCGGTGGTACATATACACAATGGAGTACTATGCAGCTGTAAGAAAGAAAGATCTCTTATCCTTTGAGACGACATGGAGGGATCTGGAAAGTATTATCCTAAGTGAAACAAGCCATGCAGAAAAAGACAAATACCACATGATCTCACTTATATATGGAATATAATGAATATAACAGTCTGAGGAATAGAGTAGACCCAGAAACATGGAAGTAGGGTGCAAACTGACAACCCTCAGAAGAGGGGGTGGTGGGGGGTGGGAAGAGATAAACCACAGAACTTATATGCATATATGCATGACCAATGGATATGTACTACAAAGCCGGGGATGGGACAAGGGGGGTATGGGGAGGAGGGTGTCAATGGGGTTAAAAAAGGAGAAACATCTGTAACAACAACAAAAAAAATCCCTTCTAACTTCTATAATGATATCTATTTAGGTTTATAGGTAATATCAACATTTTGAAATTTTTTGAGATCTGCATTGTGACCCAGGAAAAGGTCTATTTTTGTAAATGTTCCATGTATGCTATAGAAGAGTATATAATATGAAGTTTTGGTTTATAGTATTCTCTATATGTCCATTAGATAAAGTCTGTTAATCTTCTGATGAACTCTTTTTTTCCCATTTATTTTTCTCCTTGCTTGTTTCTATCAAATATTTGATAGTGGTGCATTAAAATGTATCTAAAGACTTATCTACTACTATCTATTGTTGTTATGTAAATTTTTGCTTTATATACTTTGATCTTAAGTTATTAGGTTATATCTTCCTTGAACTGAACCATATTACTTTTATTGTGAAGTGACTCTGTTTTCCAATACTACTTTCTTTCAAGGCTCCTTTGATAACAGTCTAGCTCCCAAATTTTCTTTGGGTTTAGGGTTTGCATGCACTGTTTTTAAAATCTTTTTACTTTTAGCCTCTCTGTATCCATGTGCTTTAGTTGAGACTCTCGTAATCATGTTGAGAGCTAAAATGTCTTATGTTTTTGAGGGATGAACATTGTAAAACCATTCAGTTTTTTTTTTTCCCTCTCACCTGAGGACATTTTTTGATATTTTGTTCAGATAGAGTGGGAGGTAGAGAGAGGAAGAGAGAGAGAAACATCGACATGAAAGGGACACATCGAGTGTCTGCCACTCGCATGGCCCAACCAGGGCCGGGGACAAATTGCAACCGAGGTACATGCCCTTAGCGGGAACCGAACCCGGGTCTCTCTGGGCCACAGGTCGACACTCT